CCCCAAAACCCCAAAACCCCAAAACCCCTGATGTTTATTTATAGTAGATAAAATATTAATAATATACAAAACTTGAAATATGAAGCCAAAAATGCTCCACCATATGAAGATTAACGAAGCACAGAAGATTGATCTTCAGAATAAATTCAATTCTATCGTTCCAACACAAACTGAGTTATTGGGAGGATCTTCAGTTACAAGACAATCTTATGATACCCAAAGGTTTTATCGAAGTATAAATAACTCAAAATAAGCTTGATAAAAGAGTAAGAAGTTTAAAACTTTCTCAATAATAAGCCTGAATTAGTTAATTTTATCTAAAATTAAACTATACTCACTCTAGTTTTATAGACAGTTATATCTTTGAAGAAAGTCAAAAACAGTGCAAAATGTGTTCAAAATACGTATAAAATTTTTAAAACTCAGAGGTATGATTCACCAACTTGAACAGACTTAAGTTCTTTGCTTCAATCCGCTTCAAAATATAATGAATTTTCTTTGTATTTATACAATAGTCAATTAATGAAGGAAAAAATCATTGGAGAATCTTCAGAAATGTTCATATTAATAGAACTATTGATCCCAAATTATTTCCATTAAGGGTTCATCTAGCGAATTACTCAAAGTTGCTATAGATCTTTATCAGAGTTCAAACCGTTGGATAACCTCACTAAAATAAACATGGGAAAGATATGTCAGGAAACTCCAAGGAGAAATATTAAGAATGAAAGGATTAATAATAATATCTTTGGTGATGGCAATAAAACACATAAATTTTATGATAAGTAAGAATATTGTGGTTCTATCCTCGTTTAGACTCTCTAAATCTAGTAAAAGAAGACCAAAAACAACTTCAGATAGTTTCAAAGATAATAAGGACTTAGGGGCTAGGATTAAAGATGCATTAGTCAAACAGAAAAGAGCAATGCAAAGGAATGAATTCTTTGTTAAAAAGGATATAAATCCAGCAAACTTCTGCTTCTTCGAGAATGCTATTGGTCATTTGAGAGCAAAGACGAGTCATATAAGTAAGCCTTAGAGAAAACACAGCTTTTACTAATTTAGATTCTCGTAAACCAGAAAGAGATGAAATTTTGAAACAAAACACCAATCATCGAGCTGTCAGTAGATATCTAATCGAGAAGCCAAATAATGCTTCAAAGATGTTTACGTACAATATGGGAAAGGCAGAAATGAATGTTCTAAACATGGAGAGGAAATCTCAATCGAAAGTAAGAGCATATATTAACAATATAGCCTATTCTAGGAGCAAAGCCGGGGGATACACACAAAGATTTCTTAAAGAACTTTTAAAAAACTAGTAACTGAGCCTTCACTGAAAGATTTAAGAGCTAGAAGAATGATTCAGTCCTCAAGAGAACTTAAAAGATCCCTTAAGTACCAAAACAATAAAGATAAAGATGAGAAGGTATACATTACCTAACCATTTCTAGAAGAAAACACCAACTAAAAGGAAATTAACAGTCAGATATCAGAATAGCACCATAAATTTAGTCATGAAGACCTATAACAAGTTTGAAAAAAGTGTGAATCAATACAAGGAGCTAAAAAGTAGTATTTTTCCTAAAAATAGATGGGCCGATTAATGAAAGTGAAAAAGAACGGATCTCAAAATTGATAGAGAGAGAACAAAAACTTACAAATATAGAAAGTAGCCATTGCCTTTGCCTTTTTATAAAAGTTTAGACCTTAGAGAAGAGATGAAGAAGATAGAAGATCAAGAATCAGATCCTAAGTTTAGAGGGAACAAGCCACAGATGATCAACTCTGAGCTTCATAAGCTCTCTTCCAGCCCAGTCCAGATCAGACTAGTATGCTCTATTAGTCATTATATAGGGAAGTGGGAACGAAGACAAAGATGAGTTGTCAAAAGTATTGATCATTAATAATAGGCCTAAGGTTGAAGGAGAGGTTACTTATGAAGAGCCTTTAGTTTTCCAAAAATAACATCTCTATGCCCATAAAAAAAGTTCCTGAGAATGTTTCTAGCATGAATGTGATACCTGTGGGGAATGCAGATCTTAGTGCCAACAAAGTTAAATAAACTGATAACTGAAAGCATCCTTGTAAGAATTTAGCATGATCTGTAGGAAACAATCATGAAGAAGAAACAAGATGATCTGAGAATAATTCAGAAATAAACAACAACTTACTAAGAGGATTAAGGATGAAGAGTGTTATCAAAAAATTATGAAAAGAAAAATTAAAAATTTTTGTACTCAGTTGATAATATGAAGCAATATTCTAAAGAAACTAAACCTTAGTGCTGAAGACTTAATGAACAAGAATATATTTCCAGATGTACCTTTCTTTAGACAAGACTCTGCACGATTGATAAGAGCTGCAAAGACAAATGATATAGATTGTGTCACAGAGACCCTTGCTAAAAATAGGCTGACTGTTTATGATTATGACACTTGCCACCAAACTGCGCTCCATTGGGCTGCTAAGAGGAATCATGCTGAAATTTGAAAAATTTTAATTGAGAATGGAGCCATTGTTGACAGTAAAGATTTAGGAAATAGAACTCCACTTTTGTTGGCAGCAAAGATGGATAATGTTAGATCGGTGAAGGTCTTATTAGCACATGGAGCAAATCCTGTTTCAAAAACCTTTTTGGGCCATACTCCATTAAAGATAGCTTCGGCTCCTTCAACTTTGAGCTACTTAAAGAAGGGATATCTTTTATATCTAGCAAACAAATTTATTGATAGGTCAGAAAGAAAGGATGTCTGGAAGAGAGAAGCTCTAGCTTATTTTACCTCAGAGAATGATAATGGTATACCATTCTTAATGTAATAGAGCTTCAATTATATTTCTACAACTGGGGTTTTGGGGTTTTGGGGTTTTGGGGTTTTGGGGTTTTGGGG